AGACAACTATTTTAAAAGTTACAACAATTTAAATTCCCTTTCCATAAATTAAAAACTAAATTAGTGTGCGTCAATTGATAGGCATTACTAGTTTTTTTTTTTTTTTTTTTTTTTTTTTTTTTTAATACCGGCTAGCTAACTTTTAATTGTTCATACAGAATAAATATGATATTAGACTTCGTTTTAAAATTGAAACATTTTAATGAAATAATAAAAATTATTTTTTTCAATAATAACGAATAAACATTGTTTTAATGTTCGTGAATGTAATTTGCACGCGTTTTCAAAATAATAAACTCTTTCAAATAATAAGTATCTTAATAATGAATTAAATAAATATCTAAAAAAACATTGCCAAAAGTTCAATAAAAAAATATGCTATTATAGAGGTACTCATTTTTTAATAAAAATTAATTTTTTATGTACAATTATACAAAAGAGTATCGAAAAATCACGAAGAAAATTATAAAATAATTATTTAACCGTTGTTCTTTTTTTTTAAACATAACAAGTAGGTACTTATTGAAAACTGTTATAAATAATATATTAGTGATTAGTATAATATTTTTTTTAATAATTTAAGAAAAATATATAAAATGAAAAAATTGTAATTCAAAGTTGTTATTAGTGCTGATAAATACAGTGTTATATATTTTAAAACATAATGTAATGGTACAGAAGGTAACTTTAACTAATGTAGTTTTGTTAGTGAAGATAATTTAAAGTTGTTTTGAAACTTTTAATGATTAAATTTTAAAAATAACTTTAAAATGTTTATGCAACAATATTTTTTAAAGAACTCCAAACGGTTCAAATGTGATGATGTGAAATGTTAATGAATATATTTATTAGTTATGATAATTATGAATTTAAATTTGAATACATGCTCTGTTAAACCGTAGCTTCGAACAGATGTTTTTTCTTTAATCTTTAATAATTAAGTTTATGAGTACTTAGAACAATGTCAAAAATATCTCGAAACTCTTAACTGCAATAATTTTTTTCATCAGCACTTAGCTTTTTTATGTAACATTTAATAATCTTAGCTTTAATCGTAATCGTTTTTAAAACTCGATGCTTTATCATTGTTTTCAAATTGAAAAACACTCACAGGCCCGTTCAACCATCCAGCTGTTATTCACTCAAAATCTTCACCCGTCGAGTTCTATATAAATATCGTTCGATAATTTTTGAAAATATAATTACAGTTTGTCGAGAAAAAAGTGTTTGATTTCAATTTAATGTACACAAAATGAAAAACACGGATCATCTATATTCTCCATCATCGTTAAACAATAACATTAATATAATTAGTTTCTAGATCACTAAGTATCCAATTAATAGAAGCATTTTCCAGCATTTTCCAATTAATAAAATTGCATTGTTGATTGCTAACTGCAAACTACATGTATACATTATAATATAATCATTTGTACAGGGTTTGGTACTCTAGACTGCAAATGTGTGATAACTATTGAATTATAATAGCTATTTAAACATTTTTGTCTATTTATATTTATACCTATATCTAAATTAAATTTGATCATTTTTCTTGTTTCTTCTTTGGAATTTACTATCGATAAATATCTAGCAAACACACATATGGTTTCTTTACAAACTCTATTCAAAATGAATAAACTATACCATTATGTAATCGTTAAAATATGCGGAAAACTATAATTAATTGTCGAAACACATTTACATCGATCTCGACAATCTTCATTCTTCACGACTGCTTTATAAAAATTATGCAGACTTTTAAACACGCGTTCTTCAAACACACAATAAATTAAACGAGATAAAATTTAACTGGTATAACTTCGTTCGAGAGATACAATTGTTATTTTTCTTTTTCAAACTAATATTGCTGTATTTTGATAAAAAAAAAATAAATACAATCAAAAAATAATATAAAATACATAAGCATTTTTATCACTATGGTAAGTTTCTTAATAAAGTATAGATAAATATATATGTTTAATAAATGTATACATGTTTATACAATAATAATGAGACTTTTGATCGAGCGACGGGTCTGGATTCCGAGGAAAATATTCCATTTATTCATATGGCTTATATGGTAATAATATGACACTGAGGTATTTATTGTTTAATATAATTTTTCGAATGAATAATCGTTGTGTGTATACTTGCCTAGCGAGCACACACTTTGAATGGTTGATTTCACGTTATTACTTACGATCTTATCTTTGTGGCATTTGAAAATGCTCATCTAAGTAAACTAGATAGCGGTAGGAAGTCGAATCATTGTGAAAATGACACAGAAAAACTACTGCGTTGTTGCCAAAACGTGCAATGCAGTGTTAAAACAGACGATTTTGTATTTTTGCGTGACGACTAAAGTTATACATATATGTAATATATTTTTCCATGACAATACCATATCATAGTATGTGAAACTCTACACACTGTAGAATAAAAATAAAATTATGAAATAAAACCACAATCTACTAATTATATTTTTCTTACTAATCTGAAAAAATTGTTTATACTTTATAATTAATAAACACTGTATTCATCCATCGCGATAAAAATTATAGCTGATTAATAGTTGATTAATTAGCTGATAAATTAAAACAAACATAAACTTTGAAAAATATAAAAATTATAGACGTGGAAATAAAACAAAAGTCTTTTACAAAAAAAATCTGCTTAACTTTATCTTATTTTTTGTTTGAACCTCAATAACAGGTACTTGTTATATTTTCATAAAACTTGTAATGTCACTTATCATAAAAATGTTTGCAATTTTTTCGCACACAGTAAATATTTTTTATTATTTTATCAAATCGTACGCATTTAAGGCCTCAAAATTATTTGAAACTATAACTATAATGAGAGTAGCTTTTTTTTATGGACCAAAATTAAAAAAATATATAGATAAGTAATTTAATATTCAAACCAAATTGTGGAAAATCGAGTCGAGTTTCAACGCTCCATTTTAATTTCTTTTATAGTTTGGTATTAAGTAGGTATTGAAATATATTTTATAAGTGGTGACTGCTAGAGTGGTTAGCAACTTGAAATTCTTATTTGTGTGTGTCATTTTTGAAAGAATTATGATTGATGTACATTTCCGTTTTTTTAGGAACGCCCTATACTAAGTATATCGTGTATATATATATATATATAAGTATGATAATAAGTTTGTATTAATTTTATCACTTAACTACACGAATTCAGATAGTAAAAAAATGTAATTACGCACCACATTTTCGAATAAATAAAAAAAAAAGAGTTAAAATTAAAATCATCAATATTAATGATTAAAAATGATTTATTATCTTGCTAAAATGTTATTACTAATTTATAATTTTAAATATATTTTTAAACATTGTTCAATTAATTTTGACACATCGTTTTATTAAACGGAATTCTAATTAGAACGTTTTACGGCCATTTTCTTTGAGTAAGACTTTAGGGAAATAAACAGTTGGATAAAAAGATTGTGTGAAACATGTATAATAGGTAAGTAAAAAATATTTCTATCGAAAACCAGTGCATAGAGTACCTAGTTACAACCGCGATATTTGAAAACAAAACGTTATATCGACTCAGGTGTCTGCAGTGTTTAAACGGCCGGCATTTAATTTATAGGAACATCGAACCGTTGCGAAGAGTGCATAAATCATCCGAAAGGCAACGCGGGCGGATTAATAAAGAGTGGGCAATAATTTTGAAATTGCAGCGAGACCATCAATCATCGGGCTGCACTGCTACTGCAGTTATATACAGCGCCAAATCGTCGGACTTTGGTACGTAAGTATCTACCTATCTGTTATATATATATAATTCTACATTTATACATTATTAAAGGGAAGTGCGCACCGTGCAGTAATCCACTCAACAATGACTATATAGATAGTAGGTGGTGTACGGGCACGTACACGTCTCGGTCGGTCGTTATAATGAACTTTCCGGAACAAAATATACGAAACGTAAAAAGCGAATAAAATTAAATCACCGCGGTGGTATTCACTGATCCGGCGCTCACGTAATATATTATAATACCTATTGTTACTCTAAATAATTTCATTTAAAAAACCACGTTTCGATGTCCGAGAGCTTTCTATTTCTCTCTCTCTCTTTCCCGATATATTATACATCAGTTTGGGCCATTTGGCAATATCGAAAGTACAAGTTTGTATAAAACCCATCCTGCTTTATTATTATTCCAAACGATATTCGCGTGAAATCGAAACGCAACCGTCGGATATATGTATATTGTGCGTGCGTAATGTAAAAACATTTTTTATTTGCGCATACACGTCGACGGTTATTAACGCTGGGATATGATGGGCACTCGATACGATTTTTCCGACACCCGCTCTTCTCCTGCCCGCGGACGTCTTAGTGATAGCGTGCGGCTTACCCGTACTGCACATCGATTTTTGCAGAGTAGCGCATCTATATCGCGGTCCGCGTCGGAACATAACTAAATTCTATACGCGTTTATTTACGTGTCGGTATCGCCGCCGCCGCCGCCGCCGTTTATCGGTTAGCCCACGCGTCGCGTTTCGAACGCATTACAATAATAATAATAATAACAGTACAATATAATACGCGCGACGGGCAAAACGAACGCCGCCGCCGCCGTCCGAACGCGAACGATGCTACGGAACCGCTAGGCACCGGTAGCGCCGTAGCGGGCCGGACCCACGGATTTGCGCGTGCGTGCGAGTCTGTTTTCGGTTGTCCCGAAACGAAACATTTTTTGCCTTTTTTTCCACCCTTCATCGTCATCCTTTCGCCACTGCCGCCACCACCACTACCATCACCACCATCATCGCCGTAATTTCTAAATTCCTGCACCAGTCTAGACATATATAACTATACGATATATACATACATATATATATATATATATATCGCAGCAGCGGTGGGGACTGTTTGACAATCATCATCGCGCGGGGACACGTGGAAGGGGGTTGCCATGGAGACCGGAGTGTGCAAAGGGCGTTAAAAAAAGGAAACTGTCAGTCGCACGCGGCTGGCTATACACACCAAGCGATACCGCAGGGTACTAAACTGTCTCACTCTCTTTCTCACTCGCTCTCACTCATTCTCACTCACTGTCCCTTTCTCTCGCAATCCGTCCCTATCCTACCCCCTCTCTCTCTCTCTCTCTCTCTCACTCTTCAACCCTATTTTGTTCACCCTCCCACCATCACTCGGCGGCGTGCGTGTGTGTGCGCGTTCTGAAAGTAGCTACTCCTCGCGCGCAACTCGGATTTGACACCGGACAACGCACACGCAAAAGTCGCTCGGTCCTATCCGTATTTTGTAACGAGGACGAAGACGCGCGCGCGTTGTTGTTATACGGTTTATTATTGCGCATTTGCGCCCGGACCACGATTCCGTTGTTTATTTCACAAATTTCTATCCCCGTCCCTCTCGCTCGCTCGTTATTTACCCTCTCTATCACACCGTCTTCATATTTTCCCTTGTTCTTTCGTCGTGGTCGCCGTCGTCGTCATCATCGCGCGGACCCTGCATTATTCTCGCATTTTCTTCATTTCTTCGTCCCTTTCACTTCTCGCATAACATCAGATACACCGCATATTCGCCGCAGCCGCGCAGTAATCCGCACCACCCCGTTCGGCGGGCATCGGATGAAAAAATAATATCAATACTGTTCGCGCGCGGAAGAGATAATATTTTGTTTTATTTTTTTCGAAAAAATAAATAAATAAATAAATAATAAAAAAATCAAACGTGAACCGCTGACCACTCTCGTGCTGCCGTCTCGTTGTCGACGACATGATCGCACTGGCCTACGCGTCCGAAACGACGGTGTCGGAGCCGCCGTTGCGATCGTCGTCGTCGTCGTCGTCGTCGTCGTCGTCGTCGTCGTCGTCTCCGCCGCCGCCGCTGCAGCAGCAGCCGACGTCGATTCGGCCGTGTGCGCCACTGCAATAATAATAGTAATAACAGCAGCAGCACTCCGTAACAGCCGATGGTGAGGAAAAGAACTCGGTCCCGCGGCATCAATGTGGTGTGATGACGCTCGCGGTGCTGACGTCGTCCACGGAACAATGTCGTAGACGCACCACTACGTTTGTGGTTTTCCGCGATCGGTCAAAGCTTCTCGTCGTCAAAGGTAAGCTCGGTGGTAACACGATTCGCTGTACTACTGCTATTGTAGCACTACCGTTATTGCTATCGCCACTTTTACGACTTTTACTATTATTATTTTTGTTATTATTATCACTATTCTAGTTATTGTATACGTGTAATGCGATCGTCGTCGATCGATAATTAAATAGTCAGTGTCGATGATGAACAGCCGAGTGCGAGTGTTTAGTTGCAGACCACAGTTTTAATAGCGTTTCGAATTTTCGATTATATCACCATGAAATCTATAGATTTTATAGTGAACAATAGACGACGTGTTCGAGTATCGCGTTCGTTGTCCAATGCGGTTCCGATTCATTTATTTTCTATCGGTCACTGCGCATTTCGGATACCGAACTTGTGCAATAAACAAATGTATTTATCCGGCCGGTGTACTTCATGCTGATGTACACAATAATGTTTTGGGATGGAAAAAATTAATAAAGATCACGGACTGCGGAAATGGAAAATTCGTATTCAAAATGTTTCGTAAACAAAATTATTTTTTCTAAACGTATACATTTACATTTCCTAAAAGTATTATGAGCTGATAACACGATTTTAAGTCGGCATTTCAATGAGATCAATAATGATTAGTCCTGATTAACCTGAAGTGAAAGTAATACGTTGTAGCTACGATTCTATACTTGTGTTGAACAATATTCTTCAATTTATTTTTATTATTGAATAATAAAAGATACATACATAAACATACATAAATTCTATGTACTCGAACAACTCATCTTTTATCGAAATACTCAAAATGCATTTTAAGTATGTACAGTGATATTTCTGCTATATCATTAAAATAATATGGAAAGTAACATTTTTTTCGATACCTGGTTGAAGTGCATATTTTGAACAGCTAAAATTTTAAAAATTCCTAAACTTCCATCAGTATATTAAGAGTTAAAGACATAAATAAATAAAATAGTAAATAATTTATCGAGCGCATAAATAAAAATAACTGTTAAACAATACAGTTATAACTATTTCTTTATGGTATCTTATTACTGTATTACTGTATAAATAATTATTAATAATTAAGTTTAAACATTTGTAAGTATTTATATATTCATCCATAAATGATAACTAAACATACCAACAGCTATTCGATTTAGGGTCCATCAAATAAATCTGTAATCTAATTTTAATACTTATATTGACTTCTAAATTAAACATTTTTCAACGAGTTAAACTGTACGTAATGTGATGTAAAATATAAGTATAAAATCAAATTATAATACTGCAAATTAAATAACCTTTTTCTGTTCAGGAAACTATCAAATAATATTCAATATATACTCAATTGCCAATGTACCTACTGTCAATCGATGATATTTCCAACACTTGTTAATAGCATTAGTGATACAATTATATAAATAGAATGACTTTCCGGTATAATTATTTGAATTGTGACATAATTTCACGATTGAAAACTTCTATTCATATTTATTTGCCTTAAATTATAAATTATATATTTAATCGGAATACTTTTCTTCATTTACCTATGTTTTTTTTATTTATACGGCTACGTATTTGTTTTAAACAACTCATTGGTATATTTTAATATAAAAAAACATTTTAATACTTAAAACATATTTGTATATATAATAGTATAAGAATTTATGTACTAACCAATTTAGATAAAGAGATTTGTAATAAACCTAAGAATAAACTATACTGCTATTTACTAACACTTATTTAAAATATTTATAATTATTTATAAATATTATTATTAAAATAAAATATAAATTTATTAAATACTATTTAAATATTTATAAATATTTATATTAAAATATATTGTCAATTTAGTTAAAGGCATTGTTCAATAATTTAAAGGAGTATAATAATTAGTATTTTAATTACAGTAAGTACTTAGTATAATACTTAGTTTAAGAAAATAAAAGCTACTTAAAAATGTTGAGTTGAACTAAGTTTCCATAAGCTTCCTTAGTTAGTTAATTATAACCTTATTGGAATTATTTTTTAAACTACGTTTAAAATTGACACAATGAATTGATAAACATAGATGGTATTGGATTTTCATTAAATATGGATTGGTAGATCTTCATTGATTTAATCAGCGTGTAATATCATTATCTGTATTATATTGTAATCGTGTTCATTTAGTTGTTAATTTGTAAGAATGCATCACTCTATTTTCATCCTAAAATAACTTCACATCTACATGTGAGCTCTATTGACTACAGCAATTGATAATATTATATGGTGTTATGAAAATAAAATGCGCTCATCAGATTTTGAAGATATTTCTACGAGTATATGATATGTTCTGTGATTAACTATGTAAAATTTGCAAATGCATATAGTAAGTATAGTATATATAGTTAAGTTCAAATTATTATAACTGCTTGTATTTTATTGTATATACATTTACATATGTCTACTAATTTAAATTTGTTATTTTTACGAGTGAATGAAAATGCATAATTATGTGCGTAAATGTACTCTGTACACGTAGATGTAATAATAAACCTCAGATCGAGTAAAAGTCATTCGTTTAAATAATCGTAATAAATGTATTCAATTTAATATTTACATATTTATGCACGAGTGTACAGGTATATCAAATATTAATTTATGAATAAATATTTTCTTTTATAAATAATTTATTAATAGGTTGTAAGTATGTGAAATGGTTTGAAACACAGCTAATTTTTCTTTATATAAAATATTTGTATGCAAATAAAAAGTTAAATAAAAATAATTATATTTGAATCTACACCTATCATATACAAAAATTGTTGTTTAAAATATTTTGCTATATTTCGGTACATCACGCAAAATTTTGTATAATTTTACGAAGTTTTAGCATAATAATGGTTCCAATTTAATCCTTTTTTATTCAGCTTTAAAAGGTCGTCGAAATACTGCAGATTCTGAATTGATGTACATTTTATGATTGTTGTATATATGATTAGATAAAACTAAATTATGAAAGCAATGAAAATCGTGGGGTTGAAATAAGGTCCTTGCCAAAATTCAAGATATTATATAACTATACATATCTCTCGGATAACTTAAAAATTAAAAATAAAAGAAATTAATTGTCAATATTCGAAAAAAAAAATCAATTTCACCGCTTTAGTTTACTCTTTAAAAGTTTTGTTAAAAATAATTCACCATGCCAAAACTTTCAATTTTTTTGGTCTCGGTAAATTAACGAAAGTTAGCCTTGTATGCCGTAAAGCAAAAAATAACTAATTTTATCTAATTAAAAATTATCAGTCACGAGAAAAAATTGAACTAAATTTTTGATTTAGATTTTTTAATTTCACCTTCTGCTTTATCACTATTTAGAAAAATATATATGTATGTTATGTATTCAATTTAAAATCTAAAAAGTATTCTGCATGGAACTTTTGGTGTAAATTTAATTCCTAAAAACTATTAACATAGAAAATAAAACTTTTTAAAACCGATACGGTCTTAGTTTCGTGCGGAATCTAAAATATTACGCTTACCCAAACTTTTTTATGTAATAAAATATTAGAAAAATTGTTTAACCAATTAATTTTATGGAGGTACATTTTTAGCACTTTTAATTCTGAACATGGATTTAGAATAATGTAAATATAAAATGTTTAAAAATATTTCAAATTATATCAGAAAGAATGAACATATTTTGAACTATTAAAAGAAGAAAAAAATATAATTTTGTAATTAAATAAACTAAAACATTGGATCTCGTGTTGTTATACTATTATTTGTTTTTATTTAATTATATAATTTATCCGACAAAATGGATTTCATGTATTTTAAGTACAACTAATTATATTTGTCATACAGTATGTTAAATAAGTTCATAAAATAGTTTATCACGCCAAAATAAATTACTTTAATTTTAAAACGATTAATAACAAACTATAAGATTAAATTAATGTTAATGAAAATTTAATAATACAAAGAACGTTATATGATAAATAACATGATTTATGAATGCAAATTAATATTTAATTGATGAATATACTTGGATATAATACACAATTTCGTAACGTTCAACTTTATTCAAAGAAGTGATGTTTGAAAACGGAAGTACTATTCAGAGAATGATAATAATAGATATATGATTATAAGTTAGCATCTTTTGTGTGCGAAAATCATAATTTATATATAGTATCATTGGTGTACATTTGAAGTAAAGAAATTTTACGTGGAATCAAAATTGTTTGTACTTTGTAACACAGCTTCCTACCTACCCACCAACATCAAAACCGTGGTCGTCAACTGAAATGGTTGATATTATTGAACGCGAACAATAGTTTTCGACAACATTATGTAACATATTTATTATCTGCGCACCGTAAAAATACTTATAACGATTTAAAATAAATACAACAAATGTATCATAAGTAATGATAGTTTTGATTTTTTGTAAATAACATAAAAGATTTTGAATTTTGAACGGATCAAAGATGCGCTGTTGATTCAGTTATAGTATGGTTTTTCGGGGAAAAAACTTTTTTGTTGAGTAAAGACAAAACTGTGGAAAAAGTTTTACGTAACATTAGTTTTTGATTTATAAGCATGCATATATTACGTATACCATTTCCATATTAACATATGTTATAATTTTCATAAATACCTAGTTTTGTAAGTAAAAAACAAATTCACATAGTTATTTTATTACAATAATATTATAGATTTTATGTCCAAGTAACACGCCCAAAACCGTATTTTATGTAACGCGTTAATAAATCTGATTTTATGTACGCTATCAGACACCCACTAAAATATTATCAAAATCAGATAACAAATTTAATGAGTACCTAGATATTTAACATAATACTGACATTACATTTAGCTTTGAATATCTTATAATACATTTATGCTCCATGGGCATTATTTTAATTTATCGATAAAATTAAGCTTATGCATAGGAATTTACGTATAAAAAATTATCGATGAATAATATAATAACATAACAAATAGGTAATGATAAAATATGATAACTTTTATGTT